CCTCAAACTCACAGAGATCCGCCTGCCTCTGCCTCCCGAGTGCTGGGATTTAAGGTGTGCACTACCACCACCCAGCGAGGTTTGTATATTGTTACCCCATGGGACAAATCCAGTTCTCTATTTGCTTTTACAAAGCCTGAACGATACCAAAAGAATATCTCGTGGTGTAAAAATTTCATGATATATAAATTTTAGCATGCAAAGGTTTCTTGGTCACCATCATATTTGTTTATTTTATAGAACAGAAAACATGTGACTTACCTCTGCCCTCTGCGTCAGCTGTTTGCTGATCCTGCTCTGTGCTCTGCAAATTCTTTTGGAGTAACTGGGCAATAAACAGTTAAATGTTTAGTAATGACGATTTCCTTGAAGAAAAAACACAAGTAAAGCCTAGAAATGAGATGTAATTTTGCTTCTGTTGTGAATCATAATGTAAATATCTGACATGCAGATGGTCTTAGGCGACCCCTGTGAAAAGACCAGTCCACCTCCAGGTTGAGAACCACACTGCTCTAGTAGCTTATTTTTGACAAAAAGTAGGAAAAACTTCAGTAGTTCTAAGGCAGACAGATCCAGAAGCTAAGTAGTAGGAAAAAGAGTTGAGATGGAGGAGCCTGGTGGGCTATGGATCTGACTTTAGTATTTAATTTAGACTGGTTATATAAATTCTTACTACTTTGACCTGGTTTTAGGCATTGTGTTCAACAAGTGAAAAATCAGTTTAGCACTTGAAAGGCTGTCTCTGTTCTTGATGGTCTCAAATGCAGGGAGGTTGCTTTTTTCTAGCACTTGAACCAGAATGTAACACTGCTGCTTGGTGTTCTCCCCTCACTGTTACCTACTTGAGCTCCTCTCTTTAGAGGAGTGACTGTTAAGATCCTTCCTTGTTGCCGTCAGCATTTTGACAATGCCTCAATTCGTTCTTTTACCATCCTTGATTTTTTTATTTTAGATTTATTTGTTTTTATTTTATGGTCTTTGTTTTTCAAGATACAGTTTCTTTACATAGCCCTGTCTGTCCTGAAACTAGGTCTGTAGACCAGGCTGGCCTTGAACGAGTGCTGGGATTGAAGGACTGTGCTGCCACTGCTGGCGGGAAGATGTATTTTAAGTGATGTGTGGATTGGCATATACTTAGGTTTAGAATATAAGCACTTTTCCTGAGGGGAGTTTCACGTTTTTGTGGTGTCATGAGAAACACACTGGCAAAATGTGACCGTGACCACTCAGCTCATATGCCACAGATAAGCTTTGTGCTGCCAGCTTTAATCCCAGCATTCGGGAAGCAAAGCAGCTGGATCTCTAATTTTGAAACCAGTCTGGTCTAGTTCCAGGAGCATCAGGACTACAAAGAGAAACTCTCAAAAAACAAACAAAAGAAAATATTTCATTGTTCAAAGAGATATACAGATTTCTTAACTTATGATACCAACAGCCAACTGTTGTTTTATGTGCTAAGGAAGATATACATTAGAAAATCATATTTCAACATTTAGTCTTCTGGGGTTTCTTACACAGTAACTCTGGCTGGCTTGAATATCTATCTCTCAGTGTCACCCAGACTGTCTCAGCTCCCAAATGCTGGGACTATAGGACACTCATGAGTGAGCCGCTACATTCACAGCTACATTGAAACTTTGTTTTGTCTTTTTTTTTTTTTTAAGTTTTCATGTTGATGCTGTAATTTTAAACATTTTACTTACTTGTTCAGGGTGGATTGGCATGAATGTTTACTTGCACATGTAGAAGTTAGCAGACAGTTTGAGAGTCAGCTCTCAGCTTCCACTGTGCAGATTCTGAATGCATCAAGTGCTTCTACTCACTGAACTATCTTACTGCCTCCCATTTAGGCTTAAGGTAGTGTACCAGTGTCCAGCTCATTTTCAAAGGGCTTGTGAGACAGGTTTTTCTGCTTAAGAATGGCTTGAAGGCCTGTGAGATGACCCAGTGGATCATCTTGTACTCGTGTACAGGCCTGAGAACTTGAGTTCTTCCCTGGATGCCACAAGGTGGAGGAAAGAACCAACTTTGAAGAGTTGTCTTCTAACCTCCCTCCACATACCTACCATGACAGGTGCATACCTGTGTGTATATGTACACACAAAAAAATGGCTGGATTTTGATGTGACCATAAAGAACTTAAAATTGTATGAAGTGTGCTAATCTAGAAATAGGAACTGCCTTATCTATTAGATAATCATTTTTGCTCTATCTCTGTGATTTTAACATCTTCCTGTGTGACACATTAAGCATTGGGGAACAGCTGGGCAGCAGTGGCATATGCCTTTAATCCCAGCACTCTGGAGGCAGAGGCAGGTGGATCTCTGTGAGTTCAAGGCCAACCTGGTCTAAAAAGCTAGTTCCAGGAGAGTCAGAGAGAGCTTATTTTATAACTATCTATATGAAGATATTGTCAAATGGCAAATAAAAGCACATCTAGAGGAACTCCAGGAATAAGGAGGAAAGGACCCAGACAGTCTTAAAAGATACTAGCTGAGCTTTCTTCCATTTAGGGTACGCTATACCAAAACCAGTGTTTATTCTCAGAATATAGCATTGAGAAGGAACAATGAGCTAGTCACAGTGTCACACCTGCAATTCCAGAACTGGCTGAAGCAGGAGTTCAAGGCCAGCCTGAGCTACTTACTGAGTTTGAGTTCAGACTGGGCTATCTGAGGTCCCATCTCAACCCCTTCCAAACCTCCAAAAAAAAAAAAAAAAAGAGAGGCCTGCAGCACTAAAGGTAACCTTTACGCTTACTCAAAAGATATAAGGTGTTCATGCTAGGTATGGTGACTCATACCTGTATTTTATCCCAGCACTTGGGGGGTAGGGGCAGATGGATTTCTGTGAGCGAGACCAGCCTGGGCTACAGAGTGAATTCTAGGACAGCCAGTGCTGTACCAAGAGAAACCCTGCTCCCTCCCTTGCTCCCGGAAAAGGTAAAGTGTTTGTAAGCCTAGCCTTGCCCTTCAAAGAACTAGAGACAGGCTCTAGGTAAAATGAACAGGAAAGCTAAAGGAACACCAAACAAGAATGACTAATGCCCTCATGGGGGTAATTGTATACATAAAGGGAAATTACTAAAAATTTGGAATTTTTATTGGAAACTTGGAGAGTTAAAATAATTATCTGAATAGCGAACTGGGCATAGCTGAAGAGCATGTTAGTGAACTCAGAAATGGAACTGCCCAGAGCATAAGATGAAAGTTAAGTATAGAAGAAGAAATGAGATGCAGAATAGATCACCGTTCTAGCATCCGTTTCTAGTAACTGATCACGATGGGGAGGATAGCCTTAGATAGAGAACAGAAGAGGGAGGCCACAATGAGTAATAGAAGAGAGTTTCCCCATAATGCTTTATGCCTGTCATATAGAGCTGAGTAGTAAAAGTGATAGAAGTCAGTTTTGTCTAGATTTCAAAATTGGTGACAGTGCTAATTTTCTTTATTATGTAGGTTACCTTAGAATTCTAGCCAGTTATCAGGTCAAGGAAACTTCTTGTGTTGCTTCCAAAACGAGTAATTTGTTGGATTCTAAGATACTATGTTTTTTTTTTTTTCCAATAAGATTTGGGATGATCATATGACTTCCCTCCTTTTAATTTGTAAATCACATTCTTAGTACTAAACCTTGCATTTAGATAATTGCAATCTGATATTGGTATTTACTTTGTTTGGAATGTTTAATTTTGCTTAAAATGTTTCTGAGAGATTATAGCTTGATTTATTTATGATTGTTTTATATTTTGACCAAAGCTGATTATTAATATTTAAACAAAAATTCAAAGGGCTGGAGATATAGCTCAGTGGTTAAGAGTGTTTACTGTTCTTGCAGAAGACCCACTTGGGGATTCATTTTTTCAGCACCCATAAGGCTATTCACAACCCCCTGTCAGATCTGTTGCCTTCTTCTGGACTCCTCAGCCTCCTGCACATATGTGGTTCCCATAATCCCCCCCCCCTCTCTCTCAGACACACACACACACACACACACACACAAATTTAAAAATAAATGTTTTTAAAAATTCAAAATGACTGTTAGTACAAAGTATATCTATATTGATAGAAACAGCTTTAGGGTGTTTTGTAGAAAGAAAATTTAAAGGCTTCTAAACAGTAAAGCTTTAAATAAATTTTTATTTCAAGAGATATTGTAGGCAGGGAAAGTAGCTCAGTTGGTAGAGTATTTGCTTAGTATGCATAAAGCCCTGAATTATATCTTAGCATCACATAGAACTGGCTGTGCACACCTATTATCCTTGTAGAGGGAAGGGTAGTCAGAGCAACTATACAGCAAGTTTGAGCCAGCCTTAGCTACAAGATATCTTGTTGCAAAAAGCAACTGGAGAGCAGCTGGAGAGATGGTCCAGCGGAAGTCTTTGCTGCTCTTGCAGATGGTCAGAGATGCATTGCTGGTAATGGATGACTTATATAAAGTTGCCTGTAACTCCAGCTCCAGTGATGCCCTCTTCTGGCCTCTGGGTACCACCAGAACATACAGGCACATATACAGACACATGCACGTATTAATAAAAATAAATAAATCTTTAAACAAACAATGGTTCTGGAAAGATGGATCAATGGTTAGGAACACTGGCTGCTCTTCCAGAGGACTGGGATTTTATTCCAAGCACCCACATGCCAGCTCACAGCTGTCTGTAACTCCAGTTCTAGGGGATATGACATCCTATTCTGGCCTCTATGGACACTGCATGTGTGTGAAGGGGAATTTTTTTTTTAAATAACACAAAATTTTTATGATCTGTTAACAGCATTTACATGTTTCTGTTTTTTTTTTTTTTAATTGTTTGTCTTGTTGGACTTTTGTGAGGGAGATTGGGGGAGGTAAATACAGTCTTACTATATCGCCCGGCTGACCTTCAACTCAAGAACCTTCCGAGTTGTGTCTCTTAAGTACTAGGATTAGGCAGTGCCCAGCTATACCCAGCTGTTTGTTTCTCTTCACTATAAACTTACAATAAATTTTATTTTCTTTAGGTACGCATAGCTGCTAAATTTATCACTCATGCACCCCCTGGGGAGTTTAATGAAGTATTCAATGGTAAGTAAAGATTAATATTGAGCTGTTCTAAGCCTTCCTTAGTTATTGTCATTATTTCGCTTTCCCCCTTTTCTTTCTTTTTAAAGTTTTATTCCATTTATTTATTTTGGTGGGGGGAGACAAATTGTGAGAGTTGGTCTCTTCTTCTACCACGTGGGTCCTGAGAACTGAACTTAAGTCCTCAAGCCTAGAAGCAAACTCCTTTATTTGCTGAGGCATCTCACCAGCCCTTTCTCCTTTTAAATTCTAGTCTTTTGTGGCCCAGACTGGCCTTGAACTCTTGAGTGCTAGAACAGGGGTGTACACCAACGCACCTAGCTGTGAGTGCTTGTTGTCTCCTGATTCTGGACGACCTGTTACAGCTTTGCTAGAAATCGGCATTTAGAAACATTGAACTAATTTGTTCAAGGCCACTCAGCTACTAAATCTAATAAAAGTTAGGATTTAGCTCTAGCTTTGAATGGCTCCTTCATTAATTAGGATTCCAGTCCCAAGTAAGCAAAGACTTAAGGAAACTGGCTGTCTTGGTGGCTCGTTCCTGCAATCCCAGCACTAAGGATGCTGAAGGATTGCTGCAAGTTCCAGTACAACCTGGACTAAAGACTGTCTTATAACTAAAAATAAGTGAATAGAATTTTTAAGTAGCTTCGTGTTTTAAAAAAATGACAGTAAATTGACTTTTTAAATTTTTACTTTTTGATTCCTCCTATGCCTTTAGTTTTAGCATAAGTGAAAACTTGAATTCTCACTGCCTTTCCTCACAAAGTCCCATACTAAAAGGCATTTCTCAGTACTATTTGCCTGTACAGATTCTATCTGAAGTTTATTAACATTTCACATTCATCCAGGCAGTGGTGGCACACTTTAATTCCAACACTTTGGAGTAGAATCAGGCAGAGCTCTGAGTTCACTGCCAGCCTGATCTTCAGAGCAAGTTCTACTATAGTCAGGGCTACAGAAAGAAACCCTGTTTCAAAAACAAAAAAGAGGGCTGGAGAGATGGCTCAGCGGTTAAGAGCACTGATTGTTCTACCAGAGGTCCTGAGTTCAATTCCCAGCAACCACATGGTGGCTTACAACAATCTCTAATAAGATCTGGTGTCAACTTCTGGCCTGCAGGGACACATGCAGGCAGAACATTGTATACATAATAAATAAAAATTAAAAAAAATTAAAAAAAGAAACAAAAACAAAAAAGAAAGAAAAAAGAAAAAGATCAGATTCAGCCAGAAATGATGACTCCTGCTTGTAATTCCAATACCCAAGAGGCTAAAGCAGGAGAATTACTTTGGTTTCAGGCTAGCTTAAGGTACAGAATGAGCCTTTGTTTCCAGAACAAAAACCAGAAAAATTGTTAAATAAATGTATAGATCCGCCTTTATCATCTCATCCAGATTTTCATCTATTAGACATTAGGTGGATGTGGTGGTGCACACCTGTAACCCCAGCCACTTAGGATGCTGACAGAGGACGATTACAAATTCAGGGAAGCCCGAACTACAGCGTGAGACCAAACTCAAAACATAAAAAGAGGTCTTAGTTTCCCATAGTTCTTTGCTAGGTATGGTTGTGTACACCTGTAATCCTAGCACTCGGGAGATGGAGGCAAGAGGATCAAGAGTTCAGACTCTTGCTCGCTTGCAGCAGCACATATACTAAAATTGGAACAATACGGAGAAGATTAGCATGGCCCCCGTGCAAGGATGACAAAACAAAAAAGAGTTCAGACTCAACCTTAGGCATAATTCCATAGGAACCTATGGACATTAGTGTCCATTACTCATTAGCATGTTTAGAATTTCCATACATGGAGTATACATAAAGGCTCCCTGAATTTTAAAAATATATTCTAGAAATGGACCAAAATTTCTTGAGTTTGTTCTGTACTCAATGTATTCCAATGCTTTCTTCCTCAGATGTCCGGCTACTACTTAATAATGACAATCTCCTCAGGGAAGGGGCAGCACAGTAAGTACCTCTTAAGCCCACGGTTGGGAGTGCAGCTCTGACAGAGAGCTTGACTAGCCTGTGTGTGTGTGTGGTCCTCAGTACAGGTCAGCACTGCAAACCAACAATCTCGTTCATCCACTGGATGATCTGTGGTGACAGTAAACTAGTACTTTGCAAACCTAGTTTGAGACACTTCAAACTAAAGCAGTTAATCTTTGTGTTAGTGAGTCCTAAATGAAGTTCACTATCTTTTTATTTGTTTGTTTGTTTAGACTAACAGTTTTATTATTCCATAGTCTATGGCCTTATTGATTCTGGCCCAGGGTTAGATAGACCATCATGTTGTCGAAAACGTGACAGAGATTTCTTACTTAATGGCAGACAGAAAGCACAGAAGGCACAAGATACAACCCGAGGACATCCTCCCATCTTTTTCAGCTAGGGCCTACCTCCTTATGTTTCTGGAACCTCCTAAAATTATTGCCGACTGGGGACGAGACCTTCCAAACCAAGCCAAGACAGTCTCTTCAACTATAGAAAACTACCTAGGAAACAATTGAGAACCGTTTGTGGTAATGCTTCATTGCCAAACCATATGTCTTATTTACTTTTCTTTCTCTCTCTCAAATTGGTAGAGGAAACATGTTCCCCCTAAAACTTTTGTTTTCTTAAAACGTAATGTATGAAATTGCTAATTTTTGGTTTTGCCTAGATTTTTTTTCTCACTAAAGCAAAATTTTCCTATTTCATTCAGTTTTTGTTTTGTTTTGTTTGTGTTTTTAGTTTTGGGAGGCAAGGTTTCTTTATGTAGCTGAGGCTGATCTGAACTTGCTATGTAGACCAGGCCAGCCTAATACTTGGCCTCAAAGCAGTCATGCCTCTGCCCTTCTGCCCCTGCCCCTCTGTCTCTCTGACTCTGTGCCCCTCTGCCTCTGCAATGCTGAGATTGCAGGTGTGTGCTACCATGCCTAGACATAATGTGGAATCTTTTTAAACTGCTACTTATAGAAAAGTTAGCCTGCTAATAAGTATTGATAAAGCTTCACAAATAATAACTAATTACAGGATAAAGTCATGATTATTCTCCCTGGTCACTGAATCCCAATTGCTGACAGGGGAACTAATCTTACTGAAATATCAGATCCAGCCAGGTTGAATGGTGCATGTCTGTAATCCCCACACTTACTAGGCAGAGGCAAGAGAGTTAGGAACTCAAGACCAACCTCAGCTACACAGCAAGTTCTAGACAAGCAAGTGAGATATCATGCACAAAAAAATAGTATTTTCAGTCTTCTTTGTCTTCAAAAACATAGTGGTAGGGCTTGTTTGGCTTGGGATTTTTATTTTGCTTGTTGATTCTTCTTTTAGAGTCATATACAAACAATGACTTTCAAGGGCCCATGTTATCTGGCTTTATCAATACTCTGCTCTGTTCTTCCCAAAATTCCCTTTCAGTTACTGTCTACCCAACTGGCCCAAAGTCTCTTTGTAAAGAGGAAACCTGAATTGAATATTGCTGGAAAGAGGTGGACTGGGGAAGGGGGGAGGCGTACAAGAACATGTTGATGCAAAGCATACAACTATCCCAAAGTTATTTGGGTATGCTATATAATCTGTTTGAATTTGTTACCTAGTAAACAATCGTTTGCCCTGTCCATGATGCTTTTGGGACTAGATTCTGTTGATCTAGGATTTCAAGACCATCACTGTAATTCTCTTCATGGCTGATACCCTAGATATAGTTTACTTAGGAAACTAAGGTCCACATTAAAGAAACTTTGTCTAACTCTCAACATATTCTACTGATACTAGGGTAGAGTGACATTCAGAAGTGCTTGAAGGAAACCATGCTAGTGCAAGCAATCTCAGAACAGGAGGAGGCTAGCCTGGGCTACAGATTGAAACTCTTAACTCAGTGGTTCTCAACCTTCCTAATGCTGTGACCTTTTAATACAGTTCCTCACGGTGTGGTGACCCCAACCATAAAAGTATTTTCATTACTCCTTCATAACTTTAATTTTGCTGCTATTATGAAACATAATGTATCTGATATGCAGATAGTCTTAGGTGACCCTTGTGCAAAGGTGATCCTCCTCCCACCCCTCCCATAGGTTGAGGAACGGTGTTCTAACTCAAAACAAACACAGTAGTTATTCTTATTTCTAATCAGTACTGGTTACGTCGATGTGTCTGTTGGTTTAATTATACTGACAGACATCAAAGCTGTATGTGTGTGGGTGTGTATTCAAATTCTTAGAGATTCAGGTTTTTGGAGAACCTACTTGTTAAAGGACTATTTTCCTGTGCCCAAATAATTTGATTTTTTTTCCCTTGGGTAAGAAAAGTTCACCTTAATTCTGGAATGAAATGCTTTAGTCTTTTGGTGTCTAGTACATGGTGTTTCAGTAATCCTCTCCATCATTATTGCTTCCTTTATAAAGTGAAGGAGACTCTTTATAGCTGGGTATAAAATATACATAGATAATGCATTAGATTGGCCTAGGATTTACCTTCTTTCCTATTATTTTGGCGCCAATGCTTCTAACCACAGAACCATTCCCTGATAGTGCCCAGCTTTTCTGATAAGTAGGATGTTATAGGTCACATTGAAGAGGGAATCTCATTTTGAGTGAGATGACACTGTTAAGAGTATTAAGCAGAGAATGACATGGTAAGACTTAAGGTTTACAGTGATCACCAGCTATGTATTCTGATAACTGTGTAAGGGGTAGAGGCTGAATGAAGCAAGACAATAGTTGAGAAATAGATGTAATTTAGAGCAGAAACAGTAGACATGGGGGAGTCAGACTTTGATCATACTTACCATAGAACTGGTGGATTGAATGTCAAGTGTCAGAGAAAGAAAAGCTAAGGATAAATCCAAAGTTTTTGGATTAAGAAACTGGTGTAAACAGGAGATACTATTTACTTTTTCAATTCTTTTTTTTTTTTTAATAGTGCATTTGCTCAGTATAACATGGATCAGTTCACACCTGTGAAGATAGAAGGCTATGATGACCAGGTAATACTAACTGCTCCTTAAAACGGTTAAATAATCTGATAGTTAGTCTGTGGTTGGCAGGTGATAGAGATGTAGACATCATCAACAGGTAGTAAGTTGGGTGCCAAATATATTTATGTCTTAGGTTTTAAAGTAGTCTGTGTAGTAAGAGATTCTTTTTCTTTCTGGTACTACTAGGTAGGTTTTTTTTTTTTTTTTTTTTTTTTTTTTTTTTTTTTCCTTTTGTCAGGGTTTCTCTGTGGCTTTGGAGCCTGTCCTGGAACTAGCTCTGTAGACCAGGCTGGTCTCGAGGTCTCGAACTCACAGAGATCCGCCTGCCTCTGCCTCCTGAGTGCTGGGATTAAAGGCGTGCGCCACCATCGCCCGGCCTAGGTAGTTTTTTAATAGAGAAAAGAATGCCATTGACTTTATTTGTAACTCAGTTATAAGCTGTGCATATACAACCCCTGGGTTCCAGAGAGCTACCAAGAAAGAAAATCTATCAAAAATACCAGGAGACATTAAATTTGTACTAGTTTAAGTTATTCGAGGAATTTGTTAGTTAGGAGATAGGTATGAGAAAAAGATTTCATTTAATACATTTATGAACTATGTAGCTGTATTTCTTAAGTGCTCACAATAATACAGTGGCCCTGAAAAGTTTCATAAATATGTGAAAATGAATACGTTAAAGTTGGTATTGTAGCTAGGAATAAATAAACACATGGAAAATACATTAGATAGAAATAAAAAAGTAAAGTATTGTTGGGAGGAGGAGAAGTTTGTCTATAAATGTGGTTTTTTTTTTTTTTTGTTTGTTTGTTTTTTTGAGACAGGGTTTCTCTGTAGCTTTGGAGCCTGTCCTGGAACTCCCTTTGTAGACCAGGCTGGCCTCTATAAATTTGTTTTTATGAGAATAAAATTATACTTAATTTAAAAGTCAGTGTGGGAAAGAAAAGAAATGAAAAGTTAACTTTCCTAGGATATTTTTGCAAAACATGACAAGAATTGTCTTTTTTTTATAGAGTTACTCATATTTGTAATTCTTCTCTGAAAGGTCTTAATTACAGAGCACGGCGACCTTGGTAACAGCAGATTTTTAGATCCAAGACACAAAATTTCCTTTAAGTTTGATCATTTACGGAAAGAAGCAAGTGACCCCCAGCCAGAAGATGTGGACGGAGGCTTGAAGTCTTGGAGAGAATCCTGTGACAGTGCTTTAAGAGCCTATGTGAAAGAGCATTATTCCAATGGCTTCTCTACTGTTAAGTATCTACCTGGTCCTCCCCGGCTTTGGGGACTCGGTTTTCTTACATTTATCTTATCCTTCTGAAGCTTTGGCCACCAGACATCACTTCTTTTCTTGTGGTAATGGTCACTTCCCTAAATCATTTCTAAAGGAATATAAGTATATAAAAAGTTCTTTTAAAAAGATTTCCTTTTATTATTTCTAGTTATATATGTAAATGAGGGTAGAGGTTGTATGTGAGTACAAGTGCCCTTGGAAGCCAGAGGTATTTTTTTAATTATTTAT